AAATATGTTCAAAACATCAAATGTGATATTGGATCTAGGGCATATCTACTATATCCCTAACATAACCACCTCCATACGTAGTCAACTCCCAGAAAAAAGAAAAGATAATCAGCAGAATTTAAATTCACAGAATAAACGCTAATTCATCATTAACAAAATATATGAATATTATACATTTATAATATTCATATATAACATTGAAAAAGTAAACTATATTTTTCTGACAAATGACGGTAATAGATGGTTGGTAAATCATTAAGTAACTTCACAACTATTTTCTAGTTTAAGTAAACCAGAATACCATCAAATAGTCAAAGAAATATATATGTAAAAATTACGAGTCAATTACTCAAATGGTCACTCAACTATCTCAAATTATTTCCTAAAGTCACTTTACTTTCGTTTGTAACAACAAAATCACTAAACTATGCATATTGCACTTAGAAGGTCACTCAACTAGATTTTCCAAATTTTAGATTGTCAAATACCTATTTTACCCTCTAAATTATAAATATTTATCTTCTTTTTTTTAAAAAAAGTTTTTAATATTATGATTTTCTCTTTTAATTTATATTATTGACTTACCTATAGAATAAATAAATATTATTTATAAATTAAAAAAATAGAAAGTATTTAAGCATATATAATGCTGGAATAACAAAATAATGAACATAGTAAAAAATAATTAGAATAATATGTTAGTAATAATAATTTTAGTATTAAAAACAAAAATTTAAAAATTTATTTGCACAATTCAGAATGAAAGAAAATAAATATCGTAAAATATATATTTCATGCACGTAATATAAAAATAATTATCTAAATAAAAATGTTTTTATAATATACATTTTATATTCTTGAAAATTATGCTCAATTATATTATATATATTCCATGCACGACTTAACATAGCATATTTTACCATATACAGATAGTTCCTCTGCTTTCCAGTGATATAACTTTGTGTTGTCGGAAAGTTGGTAGAAATAATAATATAATTGAGCATAATTTTCAAGAATATATAATGTATATTATAAAAATATCTTTATTTAAATAATTATTTTTATATTACGTGCATGGAATATATATTTTACAACCTTTATTTTTATTCATTCTGAATTGTGTAGATAAATTTTGAATTTTTGTTGTTAATACTAAAATTATTATTACTAACATATTATCCTAATTATTTTTTACTATGCTCATTATTTTGTTATTCCAGCATTATATATGCTTAAATACTTTCTATTTTTTTAATTTATACATAATATTTATTTATTTTATAGGTAAGTCCATAATATAAATTAAAAGAGAAAATCATAATATTAAAAAGTTTTTTTTTAAAAAAAAGAAGATAAATGTTTTTAATTTAGAGGGTAAAATAGGTATTTGGCAATCCAAAATTTGGAAAATCTAGTTGAGTGACCTTCTGAGTGCAATAGGCATAAGTTAGTGACTTTGTTGTTACAAACGAAAGTAAAGTGAATTTAAGAGATAATTTGGGATAGTTGAGTGCCCATTTGAGTAATGGACTCTAAAAAATACATCGTCACTAACTAAATATGTAAGTGATATACATCTACCCAAATAATATATATACCAATTGCAAAAGTAAACTTATATTTTTTAAATCATTAAATAAATAAACTAATATTTTGGGCATAGTACTTAGTTTGATCAAGTCAGCCAAGTATTCCTCCTTTCATTCTTTCTTATTACGCGTCTATAAAGTCCAAAGTCAACCATTTTCCCCCTATTCTATACCCTTTTTTTCTTCTACTTTGGTTTTATTTTGTCCTTTCACTCTCACCACAAACAGTTTACTTCTTGTAGTTCTATATAAATAATAATGTCTTGTCATTCTATTCTCCTCACCACTCTCTAGCTACTACACTCTCTCTTTTTTCATTAGATATCTGAAACCGACTAACACAATTATTCCTATCAAAAATCTCTATTTTCGCTCAGGATTTGAACTTAAAATTTCTGATTAAGGGTGAAGAGATCACACCATTTGAACGAAGTTTTCAAGAAACGGTGAAACAGAAAGATGGCGGGAGGAGGAGGAGGAGGAAGATCATTGGAACAAACACCAACGTGGGCTGTTGCTGTAGTTTGTTTTGCGTTGGTTGCCATTTCTATTGTAATTGAGTTCATCATCCATCTTATTGGCAAGGTAGGCCAGTTATACCATGCAGTATTAATTCCCATAAAATATAAGAAGATTAATTAATTAATTCAAAGACGCAATAGCTAATTTATTTTATGTTTATATCTGCAGTGGTTGAAGTCTAAACACAAAAATGCATTATATGAAGCACTTGAGAAGATCAAATCAGGTACGTGTGTGTTTAATTTGGTACATTGAAAACTATTTTCTGCTTTTGAACTATAAGTTGTAGGAGTATATTTTATGATATTTGATTGTGAAAACTTTTCAAAGGAGAATATTTTTCATTAAAGAGCTAGTAAGAATGACTTTTCACTGATTGACGAACCTTATTGATTTTTCTTTACAACTATCACAACTCTCAACTTGATTCAATTAACAACTAAACATTATTATCGATCTTTAATATTCAAAATTCATTTAAACACTATCCATTTTGCTAAAATTATATTATAATCAATCCTTGATAAATATGTATATATATATTTTAAAAAAGATCACTCGCCGACTAAACACCGAATTAAAAACATTTTTCCACTGATAAAAATCTATGCTCGTTTTCTGGTTATAATCTTATTATGATTAATTTTGAGCTTACAATTTTCAAGCTAACATATTGTTATTTTTATTTATTTTGAAGAGCTTATGCTACTAGGATTTATATCCCTACTGTTAACAGTAGGGCAAGATCCAATTTCAAATATATGTGTATCTGAGAAGATTGCAAGTACATGGCATCCATGTAGTAAGCAAAAAGAAGCTGAAAAGTACAACGTGCCTGTAGAGGCTGAGGGTCATCGCCGGCGACTTCTTACGGCGGCTGACGACGGTGGAGTTCGGCGAATTTTGGCGGCTGTCGGAACTGACAAATGCGCTGACAAGGCATGCCACTTTTTTTTGGCCCTTTTTGAAAAAATCAGTTGAAAAGAGGAAAATATTCGAGTATAATAAAATAGTATAATTTTTCAATATTGATATATAGATAAATACGTATTTTATAATATAATTTTATGTTTATAGTGCAATTTAACCTGATATAGAAGATTATTTGTTTGGAGTTGACAATTTCACTTCAATTATTATTTAGGAGTAGTTACTAGTTATAGTTACTCTTTTGAATAATATGATAGTGTTTAATATATGTTAAACTAATTAATTATTTAACCTAAGTGGATTAATTTTTTTCTTGTTGGATTTATTTGCAGGGAAAAGTAGCATTTGTGTCTGCTGATGGTATTCATCAATTACATATCTTCATTTTTGTGCTGGCTATTTTTCATGTATTCTACTGTATTACCACATTGGCTTTGGGAAGAGCTAAGGTACTTTGTTCATAAATTTATTTACTTATTTTACCTTAAGTAAGAAAATAGAAATTTCTATCATTTTCATTCTTTTTCTTATTTACTTCTTGTCTTTGACCTTTTTTTTTTTTTTTTTTTTTCCGTTTTC